AGCCACCTTTCTCGCTTTCTCTTTCTCTTTCTTTCTCTTTCTCCTTGCCTAGCCATGTTACTGTCCGGAAATGTCGTAATATTGCCTCACGATATTGTAACGTCGTAATATCTATCACGAATGGATATCGTAATTGCGCCGAGTTGTGAAAAACGCGATCATTCAGCCTCGTCGATGGACAACGGCGGCGAAGAATGCCGGGGCGGAATCGAGATAAAGAGCCCGCAAACTCTCGCACGAGAAGTAAAGGCGGTGGAAACGAAGGAGGAGGAGAAGATGAGAAGGAGGAAAGAGATAAAGGAGGACACCAGGGTGAGAGAGGAGACGATTGTCTGGAGCCAAGCTGGCTAACGCGAGAAGGGGCTCGCCGTCGTCGCAGCGTTCAACTGAACCATGTTTGCGGAGAGGACGAGGTTCCCCTCGCGATTAGAGGTGGGGACGTCAGAGTGCTTATAAGACACGATGATCCCGCTGCAAGAGACCGAGAATCGATAGTTTGCAAAACCGCGGGGCAAGTGAGATCATTCAAGAAGCACGAAAAGGCGAACAGAGGAGAGAGAAAGAAAGAGAGAGATAGATACATATATACATATAGAGAGAGAGAGAGAGAGAGAGAGAGATACGCGAAAATATCCGAATGAAAGTGGACTTGGCGATGACTTAAAGTAATCGCGATCACCCGTGAATCGGACGTATATATAAGGACAGACTTAAATAAAGCGACGAATCTTTCTTTGAGCTGTGCGTGTTGCGGTAAGCCCGAGCGATCATCAAGCAGGGAGGTTTACAGGAGCAGGAATTTTAGCGAAGACTGATATTGGCTACGTGAAGAATCTCGTCAACCCTTGCGACAACGACAGTGAGTATCCTGAGCTATACAGATCTGAAAATATTATTTTGTTGGACCATCAAAATACAATAATTATGTATCACGGAGAGAATTTTCTCTTAGAATTTAGCCTGAAAATCATGATAATAGTGGGACAACATAGTATTTCAAAGAATTGTATATGAGTTTCTTTAATTTACTAATATGTGTCATAATAAGATATGTAATATATTTTATTAATTTTACTAAAAAGGGTATAGTAAAATTTCACCAATTTAAAATATGTTACACAGTTTATGATTCTTTATTATTTTAAAAGAATAGATGCTAAGTAATCATGAATATATAAAATAGCTTATACAATTTTTACTATACAGCATGATATTTTTAATCTGATTTAGTCGCTTATAATTTTACCATGTAACATAGTAATTGATCGACTGTAATCGATAAATCGGTTATTTTCGTTGTCGAGTGTGTGTCTCTAGCTACGCTAGAACTTACTTCAAAAAATTTTACAATCTGCATTATAATTTTTACTACATTATTTATAAAAAGTCTCTTGTATATTTCAAAAAATCTATCGTTACTGATAATATTTCATTATTGTCAAGTTGTTCCAAGCTTATTACCAAACATAATAAAATTTGTAATGAATTTTGCGGTAAAAAAATAACGAAAAATTCTCTCCGTGTAGGGCATTAAAAATTGCTAGAATGTTAAAACATTTTGCAGCATAAATCATCATGCTTGAAGTTGTAACATTAAAAAAAAATATTAAATTTTAATAAATATTTGTTTGAATAGTGTCAAAGAAATATTTATTAAATATAAACGTGTATTTATTTGATAATAAAAATTAATTTAATTTAATTATCTTTTTTTTATTGAGTAAATATTTATTTACTGTAAGAAACATGTATCGAGATTTAGTAAATTTTTTCAGGGTACGTAATTATTTTCATGCCGAGTTGTGAAAATTGGTAATCAAAATTGCCAACAAAATTATTTTCAGATCTGTATTTAGATTTATGAGACTAAGGCCCAGTTCCACAACTGACGGTTAACTCATAACTGAGGTTCAACTTATTCATTGTCTCTTTCCAATTTTAGAATTGAAAAAAGATGAGAAACAAGTTGAACTACGGTTAAGAGTTAACCATGAGTTGTGAATTTGGGCCTTAAAGAATTATTAAGCGCTTGAAGGGATGGTCCCGTTAGCCTACATTCCCGATTGCACACCCCACTCACATCGGACGGTGTTTAGTCGTATGTCGTCAATTCTGGATTCATTTTCAGATGCAAAAAAAAGTTTTTTCAAAACTTTTCGGAGAAAAAATTCTTGCATCTGAAAATGAATTCAAAATTAAAGACGCACGACTGAATTCTTTTGAACTTTCTCTCTCTGTGCTATCAGGAGGCCTATTCTTTTTAGCTGAACTTCTGCACCAGTCTTTTATTTTTCTTCCTTTTCTCTTCAGAGAAGGAAAGAAGAAAAAGAAAGATGAACTGGTGCAGTTCATCGGAGCTTTAGTGCAAAGTGATTCGAACGACGCGCTCGTAAATACAGAGTATCTCGCAGAATTTCGACGAGAGCTTTAGACGGTTTCGCGCGGCCTCTCTTTCTTTTTGTCCGGACGCAGATAACCCTGGTAAAAATCTTCCACTTAGCGTGCCCAGGTCCCATTCGCGCCCGCTTGGATGATTAATGGTTTCCTTGTATCCGATTCCGGATATCATATTTACTAACCGCCGCTCCGGGTCTCGCCCCCTTCGCCTCTGAGAAAAGCGTGCGCGGGAAAGAGACAGAGAAATAAGGGGAAGGGAGGCAGAAACCGCGAGAAAAGAAGACGAGGTTCTCGCGAGGAAGAGTGATAACAATGCGAGAAGAGAAGATCGTAATGGAATGAGAAATAAAGCAACGCGCAAAAGGCGGGGAAGCTTCGTGGCTTCGGGGTGGCGGTGGGACGGGGGTGGCGACGAGATAGACCTCGTGGTGTTTACGCGGAGGAGAGAAAAACGCCGCCATTGATATCCCCATTGATGAAATCGGCTAAATATTCCACATCGGCTCGCTCGCTAACTTCGCCCTCGTTTTCGCTTCTTCTTCATCTTCGCCGCCGTCGCGGTCGCGTCGTAATGCGCGACCTACGACATACGAGGCCCCGTGATTCATTCTGGTTTCATTCCTCTGTCTCGCGCGAGTCACGACCTGCCTTCGCGTCTTTCTATTTATTGGATAAAGCAACCCATTAGACACGTAAGATGAGGAGAAGGACGTATCCCGTAACAAATCACACGGGAAAAAATAATTTTATTGAAATATATAAAAATTTAACCATGTCGACAGTTCGATGAGTCAGTAACTTTTTAAAGATGATTATCTTGAAAAATAAGTCGAATTTTAGTTAAAAAAAAAGTTAAAAAGTCAAACCTTTCATTAAACACGGCAGATAATTTTATAATATTTGCTTAATTAATTAAAATTGCAACACAATATAGAGAACCCGGGAAAAAATGTTATATATGGATATATTTTATATATAATTATATATATAATTGTATATAAAATACATCAATTTTTTATATAATTATATATAATTATATATGTAACTTTTTTTTCCCGGGAATTATATCGGATTGTTTATAATCCGATATAAGAAAAAAAAATGTTTATAAAAATCTCGGAAGCACATTTAGATCTTTATTGTTATCATTTTTTGTGATATCTTTAATGTTTTGCAATAGATATCGGATTATCTGCTTAAACAAGGGAACAACTTTTGATCTGGGGACCTTGAAACGGCAAGTCACTTTTGTTTTGTAATATCATCTAATTAAAGAAAGGTGTTATCGTGTGATATGTCGATTTCGAAAGAGATACATTTTTTGTTCAAAAATAAATTCGATATCCCTATCAAGTCGCACTCATAATGTAAACTCGCATTTCCGGCTAAAATCGTATATCTCATGATAAGTCACGATAAGTATTAATGGCATATGCAGATCAGCAAAGTGGTATCTGCATTTAGTACTGTGTTGCATACATGGGAGAAATTTTTAATTCATGGAAACTTTCGAACATTTGCATCTCTGTATGCAGTTTATATACGTATACGAGTAATATTATCCTTTATTTTTACGCGTAATTATTTTGCAAGAATAATTTTGCAGCAATACATTTTCTATTTGCGTGTCCAAAATTGTCCCAAGAAAAATTACTCAAAAACTTTGTTTATCCCCTACTTTGTTTAGCTAATTACAATGTATCCATCACGTTACAATGAAGTAGGTATAAATTCTTTAGAAATCATCATCTCTGCGGGAAGATTCCTATTTAACGCGAGAACGGCAAGAGAAATCGTTAATAAACACCTCCACCATCGTAAAAATATTATAATAAGGATTCTGATTAATAAGACACTTACCGTTTGAACGGATTTATTCATTCTCCTCTATACATGAAAAAGCACAATAGGCAACAATACATACGAATCTCGTAATGCTATCGCGAGAAAAAGAGAAATCGATCGATTTTATAAAAAACGAGGCCAAAGTTTTGAAAATTTGTCAATTTGCAATTTTCTGTCGGCTTACTGAGATCACCTAAACATTTCTAATCTCGAAAGTTATTGCAATCTTATTACCGAATGTATCAAATAATGCAGAGTTGGGAAGCGTTACTTTTTCCATTACTTTTCCGTTACTTTTATAATAAATAATTTGATGAGACGTTGCAATTTTTTACAACTAAACGCTAATATAAGGTTGTGTTAAGGTTGGAAAAGTTGACTTTTCTAACCTTGGTAGAACCTTAGCGTTTAATTATAAAAAATTGCAACATCATATTTATCATAAAAAGAAACGGAAAAAGTAACGCTTCCCAACTCTGAAATAATGTATGTAAGTAAAAATGATTTATCTACACACATTAATAATTATTTAATCTCGATTAAATTGTACTGATGCTGTCCGGCGTCAATTATTCCCGTCAATATTATTAATATTATTTACCGTTCAATTCTCGAACGAACGTTAATAGCATACAATTTCTCTGCCGTCGAAAACCTCCAACCGGATACCTTTAATTAATTTAGCGGACGTCCGTTAGAAGGTTTATACTGTACGTATTATATCTTGATCTTGTATAATGAGGAAGGGAGGTACTTACCTCCGAGTGATCCTTTCGTGAACATCCTCTTAATAATTGCGGTTTTGTCGGTGTAGGCGTCGACGTCGGTGACGTTGCTGCACACGCGCCGAAATTCGCGAAAGGAGTCATCCTTCGACGGGACTTTGCTCTTTCCCTGCTTATCATCCTTCTGCTTATCTTTTTCTTTATCATCTGTTGCGACCTTCTTCTGATCTGAAGTCTTCTTCGTTGTTTCTCCCGAAGAATTATTAGAGGCAGCCGCTTTACGTGGCGTTGCAGCTTTTTTCGGTGCCTTAGTCGGAACTAGAAGGAAAAATATATTAACGCATTAAATGCTATTAATTCATTATAATACAAAGCAATAATTTCGCTTCTATAATTTTAAATTAAAATTGTGGAAAAAATTAAAATTATGAAATTTTAATTTTTTTTAATATGAAAAAGTTCGGCTAAGCGCCATAATTGCCTCGTTTATTAATTCTAATTTTATTTTGTTCATTATTTTACTTCACAAATTTTGCGTGTTTTAATAATCTTTCCGTAAAAATTTGATTTGTATTTTTGGAATTTAAATAAAAAAAATTTGACATATTTATTATCAAAATGATATTAATTGTAATAAAATTGATAAAATGCTAATAAATTCCGTTTCGAAGATAAGCATTAATTGATTTTTAATGTGTGACGAAATTCCTCAATAAATCTTCCTACGTACATTGGAAATAGTATCCACCTTCGCAAACCGATTTCTAATTACAGGATGAAATTACGCAATAGAAATAGCACAATATAACACGTTGTAATTTTGTATCTCAATATCGATGAACTTTTCCACCCTCGAGAATGGCAATCTCGTAAATGACTGTCTCATAAGCGTCGAACTTCTTGAAACTTACTGTTGCAAAGCTCGAATTGTAAGAGAGAAAATTTATTAGAAATCGCGAAAGTTTCGAGGAGGAAAGCCTTTGACTGATTTCTCCATACAACATCGCGCAACTTCGTTTCGAGATGATACAAAGAATATGATCGACTATGTTCCTTCCGAGAAATCTCTAGACGGAGTGACGAATCTACAGATAAGAATGAAGCTCAAGTTTTATAAGACACGTAGGACGTTTCAAAAAGATCAGATGTTCCTTTAATCGTACATTCTTTCAATTCGAAATTAATTTTTTCTTAAACACAAATGTATAACAAATACAAAAATGTATAACAATAATTTACGAATCATATGCGATTGGTAAGGAAAACTTTACAAACTGTACTTTAGGAAATCAAAGCAAACTTTTATACTTCTAGCTAATCTTATCTGCAGTCAATGGGATCTTAATTTAATATAATATAGATATATAAATACGAGGATAAAAATCGTGATGCTGCACGGAAGGAACGTAATTATTTTGATGGTTCAAACAGAATTATTCTTGGATCTACACGGAAAGAACAATTTTGTTGAAAGATTTAAAAATAATTTTCTTGAAAACTTAAACTGGTTGCTAGAATATAAAATTTTTTTTGCAGCATTGCTCTTATTATTTTTTAATTTCCAAAATAATTATTTTGATGGCCCAACAAAACTATTTTCACATCTGTATCCATTTTAAATTTTCAAGCAAAATCTCTTTTCGTGTAGCTAAATTTTTGGATACTTCAACAAAACCGTTTTTTCTATGATGAAATAAATCATGTGGAGGGAAAGAGCTGTTTCCTCTCGATAATTACAGGATTTTTCAAATTCCTCCAACTTGTCCAAGATGACCTTTTTGTCATCGTCGGACAATTGCTCCCAGCCCTTGACATCCTCCGTGGGATCCTCGATCCTCTTTGTGCTGGCACGTTGTTTCGCGAACGCCTCGAACAGACAGGTGACGTGGTGCCAGGCTGGCATCAGTTTGCCATCCGAGAAGAAGCTCACCACATACTTGGCGATCCGTATCTCGCCCTTCTCAATCGGATATTTGCACCTCTTGCATTTCGCACGGCCGGTTTTCGCGCGCTCCACGACGAACGGTTTCTCTTCCCCTTGCTGCTGTTGATCCTCGTCGTCAGTCGGCATGATGTTCAACGCGATTGGGCGAATTTAGGTAGAACGAAGGAAACTCTAGTCTTGAATAAAAGAATAATAGATAGAAAAAGTTACATGATATCGAATCGAAATAAAATTTATTCGTTCGAATAGAATATTGAAATCAGTTCAAGTTAATATGATTCGGGTCATTAATTAATTCATTGATAGCAGAGAATTTATTTATGATACATGAGAAAAATACATCACACACATAAATTAGAATAGGATTATTAATTTTTAAATCAGAAAATATAAAGCCTCATTTCATATTTTTAACTTATTTCTTCGCACAGAATCATTACTTATTACCCGTCACACATATACAATTACAGGACCCTTAAATTTATGTGCATGTCGTATTAATAAGTACCTCTTGAGTGCTCTTGCTCCCTCCCTCCCTCCCTCTCTCTCTCCCTCCCTCTCTCTCTC